CACACACACAAACAAAAAAGTAATAGTAATCTGAATCTGAATCTTGTAGGTCAAAAATCAAATAAAGGCTCTCCTAGTACAGCTGGAAGAGGCCGTGGCTCCTCTCACAGTGAGGGGAGGTCGAGGAGGTTATCGTGGAAGAGGAGGTCGAGGCAATCCCCAACAATCACGACATACCAACAACAGTCGAGGAAAAGGAAGAGACAAAAGTCACATAAAGTGCCTCAACTGTGACTTGTTTGGGCATTTTGCATCAAAGTGCCCAAATCCCAAGAGGAAGGAAGTTGGTGTTAATCTCACACACGTACAGGCTCTTCTGTTAACTGTATGGGGTGAAGATACAGATGACTAGGTATTGCTCAATGAAGACAGTTTTCCCCGCAACAAAAAAGGAATGAGAATGATACATGGTACTTGGATAATGGGGCCATCAATCACATGACAGAGATGCCAGAGTACTTTGCAGAACTTGATGAAAGAATAACAGGGCAAGTGAGATTCGGGGACGGATCCAAAGTGCAAATCAAAGGAAGAGGAACAGTTTTGTTAGAGTGTAAAAGCGGGGAGCATCTGAAGTATATTACATCCCAGCTTTAAAGAGTAATATACTCAGCCTTGGTCAAATGACAGAGGTGGGGTACAAGATTGAAATGCTTCATGAACTTTTGAGAGTTCATGATGTAAGAAATCAGTTGATCATGAAGGTACAACGCTCAAAAAATAGGTTGTACAAGATTGTACTTCACACCTCACAACCAATATGTCTCGATGCAAGTTTAGACGATGTTGCATGGGTTTGGCATGCAAAGCCGGGGCATGTAAACTTTCGTTTGATCGAGTCCATGGTGGAGAAAGAATCGGTGATATGAGTGCCAAGAATCCACCATCCCACACAGGTTTGTGAGGGATGTCTAGTCGCCAAACAAACCCGACAACCGTTCCCGAAAGAAGCACAATGGCAAGCAAGAAACCCTCTGGAGTTGGTACATGCAGATCTTTGTGATCCAATAACACCCCAAACTCTAGGAGGTAATCGATATTTCCTTCTCATAGTAGATGACTACAACAGATACATGTGGGTGTCAAATGATGAAAATCAAGAGTGAAGCACTCATTGCCTTTAAGAAGTTCAAAAATCAAGTAGAAAATGAGGGGAAGTTCAAACTAAAACTGTTGCGTACAGATCGAGGAGGTGAATTCATGTCTAGTGAGTTCACTAAGCATTGTAATCAAGAGGGATTAAAAAGGCAATTGACGACCCCACATTCCTCACAGCAGAAGGGAGTAGTAGAGCGTCGAAATCGAACGATTCTTGAAGTCACAAGATCTTTGTTGAAGGCCATGGAAGTGCCAGAAAAACTATGGGGGTAAGCCGTACGCCATGCAGTTCAAATACTCAACAGAGTTCCAATAAAAGGAGTCAAGGATATGACCCCATATGAAGGTATACATGGGAAGAAACCAACACTCGAACACTACAGAGTGTTTGGTTGTGTTGCTCACGTGAAGCTGCCATCAACCCAACGCTGAGCGGTAGAAGTGAGAAGATGGTTTATCTAGGAAACGAGGAAGAAACAAAAGGGAATCGTCTGTACTGCCCTAATCGGAAAAAAAATGTGTATCAAGGGATATTATATTCTAAGAAAAGAAATGGGGTTAGGCTAAGATGCAATGTGAAGACCCAAAAAACTGTGGTGGGGAACGATCCGGTATAAGGGGATATAGGAAGCCCTAACTCGCAGTCTAGTGAAAGTCATTTACAAACCGACATCACGCGGTCAATCGCAAGCTGGCAACGAGTAGGGTGAATCACCAACCTTATCTACATCCCTAGTGTAGACAAGGCAACATATGACGACACACCGGTCCGTGGTTTCACGATCCCTGACCGATATATACGAACAAACGCAAGCCTTGCAAGATGATTCGGAAGTTCTAATGTATGCAGGTGAAGAACCTACCACTTATGAAGAAGCTTCAAGTGATGAAGAGTGGAGAACTGCAATGAAACAGGAGCTGGAATCGGTCGAGAAGAATGATACATGGAAACTAACACATCTTCCCAAAGGGCATAAGGCAATAGGGCTGAGGTGGGTGTTTAAATTGAAGAAGGATGCAGAAGGGAAAATGACCAAATACAAGGCAAGAATTGTGGCAAATGGTTATGTACAACAAAAGGGTGTCGATTTTGATGAAGCTTTCGCACCAGTGGCACGTTTGGAAACAATACAAACGTCGTTGGCTTTGGCTGCGAGTGAAGGATGGTATACAAACGTCGTTGGCTTTCGCACCAGTCCATCACTAGGACGTAAAATTTGCCTTCTTAAATGGGATTCTATAGGAAGAAGTGTATGTAACGCAACCAACCAGTTTTGTTATTGCAGTAAAAAAGAGCATGGTATACAAGTTGAACAAGGCTCTCCGCTCTCTATGGTCTATGTCAGGCTCCAAGAGCTTGGAATGATAGACTTGATAAAACATTGAAAGAGATGGAATTCCAAAGATGTCCACAGGAGTATGATGTGTATAAACTCCAGAAGTCAAACAAGTCTTTGATTTTCGGGGTCTATGTGGACGATCTGATTGTGACAGGTTCAAGTGAAGAACTAGTGGCTGAGTTTAAGAGGCGGATGCTAAAGACCTTTGATATGAGTGACTTAGGAACCTTATCCTACTACCTAGGGATAGAAGTTCACCAAGACAAGGATGACATCACAATCGTTCAAACAGGGTATGCTAAGAAGATTCTACAAATAGCAAGAATGGGAGAATGCAACCCATCACATTACCCAATGGAACCACGACTGAGTTTGACTAAAGACGAAGATGGAGTGCCAGTTAATGCTACCGAGTACCGACGTCTTACTGGAAGTCGTCGCTTATTCACTCGAGACCAGCTACTCAGTTGGAGTAGTAAGCAGATACATGGAGTCACCAAAGGAGTCATCTCAAAGCAGCCAAACATATTTTAAAGTACATAAAGGGGACAACCAACTTTGTTTTAGTGTACAAGAAAGGTGGTGATAGAAAGCTTACTGGATTCAGTGACAGTAGCTATGGAATGGATATTGATGGTAGAAAGGGTACAACAAGAATGATTTTCTATCTATCTGGAAATCCAATCACATGGTCGTCCCAGAAACAACACATTGTGACTCTATCTTCTTGCGAGGCGGAGTTTATGGCAGCAACCGTGAAGAAGCATGCCAAGCACTTTGGCTAAGGAGCCTACTAAAAGAGTTGACCGGTTGGAAAGAAGAATGTGTCAGGATGTATGTAGACAACAAAATCAGCCATAGCCCTTATGCAAAATCCAGTCTTTCATGGGAGAAGCAAGCACATTGACACCAAATTCCATTTCATATGAGGTTGTATTGAAAGGAAACAGATTGAGGTGAAGCATATCAGTGGCGAAGAACAAAGAGCAAATCCCTTAACAAAAGCTTTGCCCATACTCAAGTTTATAGAGATGAGGAATCTTTTAGGAATTATAAGGCTTGAGGACAAAGTTCAAAATTAAGGGGAAGTATGTGGGAAAAGTTATTCTGACTTGGTCTCTTAGTTGACCTAGTCTAAAGGAACAAGTGGCTTAGTTGCCACCTTGTTAGGAACACACGATTTTACTGTTTTAGCTTTTCTGTTTTTCCTTTGCATGTTATTTAAAGCATTGTAAGTCTCTTTGTTTTAGTATCAGAAGTAAGAAAAAAGAAAACTGGGAATCTTTTCCCTCCATCTCTGTGTTTTTACCCTGTTTGGTCGTAAATTTATTGATCAAAAAAAGGGTCTGAACCAACAAATCTGAAGGGGAGATATCTCATAAACTGATAGCAACTATCCCATATCAAACTAAAGAGCACAAACCAAACATACCAGAATTATTTTAACAAAAGAAACCCAACACAAGCCACTAGTATTTCCTGACTCGGTTGAAAACCTAACAGAAAAGAAAAGCCACGGCTGATAGAAACCTCAAGTCATGCCAAGAAACTAACTATATATTGCCTGATTGAGAACTAGATTGGATGATCAATGGCATTATATGGGATGCTGAAAATAACCTATTCTCCAATAACCCAAGAATCTAAGAATCAGACAAGTGAAACTAATTGACCGACTATGACTGGTAATCAAGTAATCAGCTAGAAACTAAACCCAAAGAAAGAATTGAAAAAAAAAAAAAAAAAAACACAGGCTCAATTGAATCAGACTACAAATTCCTGAAATCAATTGTGGTTGTATATGCACAAAACCCAAGAAATAGATTATTCTTGAAAAGGGGTCAAATGCACTTATAACTTCCAAGACCTTGACCACTTTTCCTGAAGTCAACTCTAAAAACTTATCAGAGACCAAGTTGTTGGCAAACTATTGATAACATGGATGATGTCATCTTTTGACTTATTTTGTATTCATGCTCTTATCCATGATGTGTTAATGAAAACAAAGATTTAGGTTGATAGAGAGCTTCTTAAATGCTAATTGTGGAGGGGAAGAGTATTGTAATAACCAACTTAATAAGAGTTGGTGTTTTCATGAAGCCTAATGAAAGTCATGACTTTGAACAAATCTCACTATTTATCCAAGAAAGTAATGATGTTTAAGATGGTTGGAAGAGCTTTAACATTTGTGCTTTGCTTATAGTTGATTTCAAATGATAGATTGAGCTTCAATAAAAAAAATGATTGTAAAGGATGTACCAAATCCATGTTAAGCCTTATAGAAGTTGAAACCCTACCTAGATTAAGCAATGGTGAACTTGCAATGGCGAGAAAACTGAAGCATATTACAATTAAGGCGAGTAATTGTGTAAGTTGTCCAACAGTCAACATGTTACTATCACATTTGAATGTGTGATTTGAGATGTATTCGTATTAGCCCCATAACTTCTATAGGGAATGTGATTGTAATAGTCAGAAAAATATTGGGATGCACCCTTACTAGTCTGGTCCCATAGTAAGAATTAGGGATGTAATTTTATCGATCTCATGTCCGGGATGTATCTATTCTATGTTAGTTCCATGTTGGGCATTTTCGGGAATGAATGATGTATGAAGTACAAAGGATAGGATATACTTAAGAAGCAAATCAATCAGTATAGTATAGTTTCCATTTCAGGAAGTCTGGGACTCTGGATTTTGTATTGTTTGGGTATTATATGGTTAAAACTCATAAATAATAAATATTATTCCAAATACATAATCCTTACCCTCTGAGAACTTCAGTTGTGGCAGCTTGCATATTAGATATGAGTGTGGGAATTCTCTGACTTGAAAGAAAATCAGCACTCGCCAAAAACAGTTGTTCGTCGCTTCTATCCATCGGTTCGCCATCCTTCTGTAAAAAAACAAAATTCTAGTTTCATGAAAATGGAAAGAATTCGGACGAAGAAATAGATCATGAGACAATTATGATCAAATAATTCCCATTCCCTATGTTCTCCTTCTGTATTAAATATTTAATAGCCCCCTTGTAACATTAGTCAATGTGAGCTTGGATGATACGTACAACTACTTCTAGTTTGACACCCACAAGAAAAAGATTGGTGTGTGGTTCATTCAACTATTGTATAAGAGAATCGATGTGTTTGGTTTTGTTATCATACGCATAACTTGGCCTCCCGCTTAAACAATGGCCTAGATTTCCTATTAAGAGGGTTTAGTTTTTGAGTTGAGTTGAGTTGAATCACTAATCCAATCCAAGGTTATGGGCTTCATGGACTGAATTGATAAACTATGTCTACATTAAGGTTTGAGGGTTTTGTGTTCAAGTTAAATGCTACATTGAATAATAGTTTTGGGAGGTAGTTATCTTTTGCCCTCCCTCTTCTAACCAAATCACTTTCTTCCGAATATGATTTATCTTTAGAATTTGTGTCTTGAGAAAAGACTTGTTGATTTTCAATTATTTGTAGTTACTTCTCATCCTTAGTTTTATCAAACCAGTCATCGACTTATTTCTTATTAGAGTATATAAATATTAGGTTATCTATCACTTGAAACACTTCGCCTTTGAGTACGATATCTAGTCTATTCTTAACAAACTATATGATCACTTCCGTATACAATAGCACCGTGCATCTCGCTTATACTAAAGGCCTATTATATTTCATGTCTTCCAAACAATGGAGAGAATATATATACAAAATTTGGTAAAAAACACAATTTAAATATAAAGAAAAGAAGCATAACTATACTTCTTTAAACCTAAAGTTATATTGGAAGTTTAAATTTTTGTCAACTTTTGTTTAATGGTTCATGCTTGCCCCAAAACTAATAGTAACAAAAAAAATCAACTTGCAAAACAGCAAGAAAAATGCCATAACCATAACCAAGGCATAATCTAGTCTACAAATGAGACTAAGACAGAAGACAAGGATTAGATTTACAACAGCATGGTTGTCATGTCCAAAGAATACAATTATAAATTAAACTCTTCAACACGTTGACTTCTCATCTGAATAACAAATTTTGGGAGCAGCTTTGTTCCGTTTATATTCAAAAGTACAACAATAGTGAAAACAGCCTCTCCTACAATATGTTTGTGTAGATTAACTACATAGCAACACTAAATATAGTTAATAGTTTCAGATATGAGCTTCTTGATTTTTAGGCTTTTATTTCGAAGTAGAGAAGTGATGGTTTAAACTCCTCGATATATAACAAGTATCTTTAAAAAGGATGTTCCCTAAATGAAAAAAGCAAGTATAAGGTATTACTAAAAGTTAAAATCAAGTAGTAACCTACTTCTCTCAAATGTGAAGCGGAATTTCTAAGTTTTCCTAACTAATTTGTTATATGAAATAGATGGCACATCACTAATTCCAAGTTTAGAGAATTTGTGTATAAATGTTGAAGTCAGTAAAGGGCATTTGTTAAGCATGACAGAATACAAGAGAAACAACAGGTTGTACTGTGGTTGGTGTGCATTGGACACGGACTACGATCAATGTCAATGAGACAATAGTTGCACTTTTTTTCGTCCTCATCACCATCATGAAATATAACAAACACAACCTAAAAGACAAAAAAGAAAGAGAGGTCGTTACACTTACAGGTTGAAATCCACCAAGGTCTTGTGCAGTATCTATGTATAGATGTCTCCCTAAGATGTTGACCTGAATTCTAATGTATAAGCTAATTGCAGTCATCGCCCAGATAGACAACACCATCCTAGTGAAACCTTTGCATATCAGACAAGATTTAGAATGAGAGGTTAGCCTGCTGCTAATCCATATTAATTTAATTATCTACTAAGATGTGATCATAAGAAAAAGAATGTATTCATACTTAATATTTTAAGCCTATCCCAAAGCTCAAGTTTTTCTGAAGGTGTCAAACTGTTGGGCTGACCCTTTCCTTTTATCAACCTCTCTGTAAGATGCAAAAGATCCAACTCTTCTGAGACCCGGCTACTCAAATAAAGCATGGCATGTGGCAATGTCATCGTATTAGCTATTCTTTGGATGTTCTCAAAGTGCATTTGCATCCTGTACATCGGTCATTTCCCAAAAAAAATGATAAGAAAATATCTGATTGGCTTGATAAACTAAAAATGATGAGTACCACTACTATCTTACTGGGCCTTAAGAAGCTCATCATTCTCTTGCTCATCAGCAAGTTGTCTCTCGAGTTCAGAAATCCTCTTTGAATAAGCATCATAAAACTTGTATAATAGGTACCCACCTCCACAAAGCCCAAGAGAAACATAGACCTTTCTTTTATGTCTTCTCCAAAAATCCCTACAATCAGAAAAAAAAAATTATATAATAAATAACAACTCAAACCTAAAGCAAAACCGGATCTACAGTGTTCATGAGCAGAAAATCACTAGTGTAATTTTTTATATTTAGTTTGATATCTTGATTTTGAAAAAGAAATCAAAAGGACGAACTAAAGAGTTGATGGGAGAAACAGAGGAGTGATGGACGGACTTGCGTTGCCGCCGTCCTCCGAGAAAATTACAAATATAGCAAAATATTTTAATTACTTTGTAGAAAATAATAAAAAAAAAAAACGAAATTACATTTTTAGCCATCAAAATCGCAGATGGATTAAGCCCATCTGCGATTTGTTGGGTCATTCCCATTATATCTACCCATTTCTCAAACTTGTAGTTGCATTCCTGCTGCTGACTCTTGTGGAGTGTCCCAACATGGAAAATTCTTATAGGTGTAACTCATCTACAATGTTTACTCTGTTTGTTTTTTCTTTCTTTTCCCTATATGTACACTCACATCGTCTTTGCTGTATTTTATTTTTATAATATTGTGATGTTAAAAAAAAAATGGTGATATCAGTAAAGCAACAATAAGAGAGATTGATACACTATCGTTTATTTTGTATATAATGGTTAATATAGTTCTTAGTGAATGTTTGTGATGTAAAGATTTCCAAGTGTGATGAAGTAGGATAAAGATTGGTGTATCGTTTTTGTGTCTTTTTTAATATTCACAGATCTATGCAGAAAATTATGTTGAGAGAAAAAAGATTCTAGACGAGAAAAAGGTATTTGTCTTTTATTTTTTTAAACGTTTTTGCATAAATGTAATAATCAATTTAATGTTTGTTTGATGCTAATCTTGTAGGAAATTTATGCTTTGATTTGCTTTGATTCAAAGGAAAAAAGGTAACCAATTTATAATATTTTTATTCCTCAGCTAATGGGTCAAAACACACAGGGAGATTAGGACCAATGGAATTGGAAAGGAGCACAAGGCAACAATTATTGCAGACACAATGGGTAACCCAGTGGAGATACCACCACCTTCTAAGATAGCCAAATACAAGTTAGATAAACATCAAATTTACGTTAAAATCTAACATATTTAAATAAAAACTTCATTAACTTTAATATATCTAAAAGATAGTGGTTTAGTATTTTTCTAAAAGATTGAGGCAAATCTTCTTTTTTTGGATTTTATTATGATGTTATCTTCAAACATTTTTCGTCAACCTTTTCATTTATCCTATATATTTAAATAAAAACTTCCTAACATGTACAGAGAAAAAAAAAAACATAAATAGTCCTTATAAAGGTTTGTTAATATTTGGTTTAATTGGTACAATACACTAATGATATCAGGAAATAGCTATGTAATTTACATTACTTAAGTTATTAAGTTATTAAAAAATAAACAAAAATTTTTGTGTTACTTTGATGTATATCTATTGAATATGAATCTTAAGGGGTCTTTAGCATCATGTATGTACGATTTAAATAGGGTTGTGAATTTTTCTATTGCAGGTTTCCACCATCTCGATTCTCAACCACTGGATATTTATTAGTCTTTTCAAGGACTTTAAGGTCGGTTGGAGGTTTACCAATATAGAGTATCAAGGGATCTCGATTAGTTTTAGTATAAATTAAGATATTTGAAATAAACTTTCCTGCTTTCTGGGTTTTAGTTCAAGGTTAAATGCACGAAATAGCAATGTACTTTAGTTGATTTGTGCTCTATAGCATCCTACTTTTTTTCTTTATATTATTATGCACAAAATTTATTGATAATAGAAATAAGGGATCATATTTAAGATTTCATATATTCTTTCTTTTTGTACAGGTTCCTAAATATTTGATATTTATTTATAGTATTAATGATTGTGCAGTATTCTTGATTAAAAATGGACTGCCTGATTATGTTGGAATGTGTTATTTGTAGGTTCTGATGCTTTGTGTGCAATTTTTTTTAACATGCATTTTTTTTTCTTGCATAATCACTTGACTACGAATTTGGTTGAAATTTATGCAAGGTGTTTCTACTATGTGGGGTTTGATATTATGTTTCACAGTGATGTTTGATATGGTTTATAAATTTTAATTTAATTTATTTGGTTTGAAGCAAATCTACCAAGAACAAGAGGAGAAAGTTGGAGAAAGTTGGTTGCAAATATATTAGTCAAAAAATCTTCTTGATATAAAACAAAAATTAAAAATGACTATGAAAAGGTGATGATTAAATATTAAGTTATTTGTATAAAAAATTTCTCATACAATAAAAAAGCATCAATAATTTGAATATTATTTTTTTACCGGCACAAATAAATATATTCAAACTTATCAGCGTATATACTATATATAATATTAACATAGAGATAATAATACTAGAAAATATTAAAATATCTAATGATTAAAAATTAAAATACATAATAAAATCCAATAGCAATAAGAATTTGAAAACTAACAATAAATTATAAATATGCCATGGAAAAAATACAATATTACAATTCATAAGTTTTTCTAAATTAATGATATATTATTTTATTACACAATCAATTCTTTTAAGTCTATTTAAAATTAACACCCGTGGGTTCCACGGGTTTTAACCTAGTTTATTTAAATCAACGGATATAACTTTATATAACTAAAAAAAATATCTCTTAAGTAATAATTTTTCAAAATAGTTGATTAATAATTTTGATTTTTTAATATGAAAGGTTAATTAATTTTATAACCGTGGTTCTCACGGGTTATAAACTAGTGTATGAAATAAAGAAGACACCTAGAGAAGGTGCTTTAGTGACTCCTTTTTGAACCTTTGACCATTGTCTCTCTAGATTGTGAACAATTTCTTTCATAGAAGCCCACAAGATACAAAGAAAAAATGAACAATATGAATAAAAGATCAATAATGAAGTGTAAGCAGAAAAAAAAGAGATTCAAATTAGAGATTTCTAACCAACCGGTTCATTTTTCTTTTTCTCTAAGCTCTCCTGCAGAGAAGAAATTGAAGCAGCTTCAGCTTTTGATTTTAATAAAGAATCACCAGATTCACAATAATTATTAGTGTTTCATCCATTTCCTGCAAGGAAATATTCAAATATAACTAAAACTGAATGGATTTGTTGAAAAGAAGAAGAAAAAGCACATTTTGCAGCCATTTTTAAGATTGAAAAGAATGCAAGAACTGATAACATGACATGCCTAGATGTTAAACGTAAGATTGAAGCATGTCTCAGTATGATCAATTAATATGCAGATCTAAACTATCTAGTATGTACATTCGATCTATCATGACAAACTCAGAAAATATGCAAATTCAAGAAAATATGCAGGTTGTTAAATCAGTAATCACCTGAGGTGCTAATTGTTTCTCAACATAGATTTCTCATAGTGAAGATGATTTGCTCCGACTCTAAATCTAATATATTGAGCATGAATTCATGAAATTTCAACACATGATCGACATAGAGGGTGTTTGGCAAAGCTTATTTAAAATAGCTTTTAACTTTTTAACTTGTAGCTTATTAACTTATAGTTGTGTCAAAACGGAGTTTTTAAAAAAGTGTTTGGTTAAACTTATCCGGTGCGCTATAAGCTGATAAGTCATTTTAAGTGTTTGGCAAAAAAAACTGCTTATGTGTAAAATTACCAAAAAGGACTTCCTTTTATATTATGACTTATTTTTCTTATTATAACTAATATAACCAAGATTAACATTGTTGGTGTCCATAAAATTAAGATTCTAAAGAATTTTATTGATAATTGAAGCACAAACATACACACAAACAAATACACAGAATCACAAATCTGATTTCACAGATTCATAACAGATTAAAATTCAGAATTTTATTGATAATCGACAGCTCAAATTCGAATCAAAAAAATCAACACAACACAAATCCAGATAACCAAAAAATTGAAAACAATACAGATTCATATCAGATGCAAAAGAAGGAAAAATTGACAGCACCCATTCTAATCAAAAAATCAACACAACACAAATTCAGACAACAAAAAAAATCGACAGCACTGGAGTGAAATTGACAGCAGCAAGAGAAAGGAGAAAATTGACAGCAGCAGCAAGAGAAATCGACAATTGGAGACAGCAACACAAACACGAAAGAAAACAGAAAGAGAACGGAAAAAGCACAAACCTTTGGGCTGCAACGATCTCCGGCCGGTGGAGACGAGAGGGATACCGGCGGCGAGCAGGGAAGAGATGGCTCGACAACAGAAGCAGCAGCGATGGAAGAGAACGCAAGCAACAGAACCCGATTCGGAGGCGTTGTGTGTAGATGGAGACGATGTTTAACGTTAGGGCAAGGGCTATATTGGTCAATTTCTTTAAAGGGTGAAATAAGGAGATTTTGATAAGTAAGGACTATATTGGTCAATTTCTTTAAAGGGTGAAATAAGGTGATTTTGATAAGTAAGGAGAAGTGACTTATGGAAAATGACTTATTTCAGGTGCCAAGATTTTTTGATTTATCCCGGTGAGGAACCGGTGATAAGTCAAAAAACTAAAATTTTAAGCTTTGCCAAACACCCTCATAATACCTATATGTTTCTTTAATTGGAGGCTAGGGCAGCATTAGAGGCGAGTGAAATGGATGTGGAGGTCCGGGAGGCATTGGGAGTAGGAGAGTGTGGATAATTCCTTTTCCAAGCCCATTTAGCAGCTCATTGGGCTGAACAACAACAACAAAAGGAGCACAAATTGGATTTTTATTTATTTAACTAACTCATTGTTATTAACAATTAAATAATAATTTCATAACAAATATAAAAAAATAATTTTTAATATTATCATTATGTGAAACTATATCATAAGAGATAAGTTTTGAACTTGAAGTTGTGCATATACAAAGTTATATGATTAAAAGAGAAAAAATTAACAATTTTTTAAAAATAAATAAATCATTATTGTTATCTATTAAATAATAATTTCATATTAAATTAAAATGTTTATATTAAATATTATCATTATATAGAACATACGATAATAGAGACATCTTTTTATCTATCTTATCTTAAATATTACCATTACATACAACATATGATAATAGAGACATCTTTCTATTTTAAATAGTAAATTAAAAAAAAATTGCATCATAAATATTACTATAATTATGTAGAACATATGATAATAGCAACATCTTTCATAAGGTTAGAACTTAAAATTGTATTACATGCGGGGTTGTAAAACGTGGCTAACACAACCCAATACTCGGCATGTTACTTGAACTAGGCCTCCAATGGAAGCGAGTTTGCCTAACTTAGGAAAAAGACACTCGGATATTAATCAAACTCAATCCAAATCTAAGAAGTTCAGTCCAAAATCATTTTTGAAATTCTAAAACTTAATTGGTCACTTGTCAACAAAGACAATCTCACCAAAGAATACCCTCAACGTCCTACAAAGGTAGACGCAAGGAAGATCTCATGGTTTAGTCTCTTTGAAATATTTCACAACCTTTCGTATTTATAGTTGAGGAGACATACTCTTGTTTACTCTCGCCATCGATGTGGGATGAAGACATTTAAATTAAACTCATTTCTTTATTTGCCAATAATTTTATTTTGTTAAATAAAATATTAAATAATAAAAATAAAACATTATCCAAAAAATTTATTGTTCAATAGTTCCATTTTTCAGTAATCTCGTAAATTGCTATCCAAAAAAGTAAGTTTTTATTGAATAACTTTTTGTTAAATCTTAAAATCATAAATTCAGTTAGGTACCTAATATAGAAAGTTTGTTTATATGTATTTTCATAATTCAAAAGGTCATTATAAAATGAATTCCTTTATAAAATATAATCGAGTATATATTTCGTGTTTTTGAATCAAAGTGATTTTTCAAACAGTTATAATTTTATGTTTTGGTAGATTTTTTTATATTTATATAACATTATGTAACTTATTTATAATATTATTAAAAACAATTTGAATAATCATGGGTGTTTCAAATGTATGTGGTGAAAGGAAAATGTTTCACTTATCGGTCCAAATTTATCAAACTCAGATCGATTTGTATATATTTCATGTTTTTGAATCAAATTCATTTTTCAAACAATTATAATTTTATGTTTAGGTAACTTATTTACAATATTATTAGAAACAATTTGAAAAATCATCGGAGTTTCAAATGTATGTGCTGAAAGAAAAATGTTTCCTTTATCGGTCCAAATTGATCAAACTCGGACCGATTTAACTCAATATACCCAACTACATAATGGTTTTTCATCTAAAACTCGGCTTGAACCTGAAAAAATCTTGTTCAAAACCATTTTTGGAATTCTAAAACTTAACTGGACAGTTGTCACTAAAGACAATCTCACCAAAGAATACTCTCAACATCCTAAAAAGGTAGGCATAAGGTAGTTCTCATGGTTTGGTTCCTTTGAAACATTTCACAACATTTCCTATTTATAGAAGAGGAAATGTTCTCTTATTTACTCTCACCATCGATGTGGGATGAAGAGATTGAAATAAAACACCCTTAGTCTTATAATATTATAATAGTATAAGGGTTGAATTTTAAACTTTTTAAAACTCTAGGGTTTTGAATTTAAATATTTTCAAAATTAAAACTTTTAATCAAAATATAAATTTCAAAACTTGAGGGCAAATTTTGAACCTTTTCAAAAAAAATCTTTTAGATCAAATCTTATCGTAGTTCTGATCATAGTCCCCATCACACGGTCCAACTTCTTTAGAATACGATAAGATTTGATCTAAAAGATTTTTTTTGAAAAGGTTCAAAATTTGCCCTCAAGTTTTGAAATTTATATTTTGATTAAAAGTTTTAATTTTGAAAATATTTAAATTCAAAACCCTAGAGTTTTAAAAA